GGCGTGAGTTCAGGTGCACACTCCTGAGAGGCTGTCAGCATCTCCATCTGCTTCAGAATCATCTCTTCTGGTGCCAGCACATTTCTTCTACACAATGGTCCCTCCCAAGGCTGTCCTCTCAAGTGCCAAGTTGAGGGAAGTGACTCCGGGCTGTTCTCTGGCAAGGGTTCCCATAACAAGACTCAAACAACAAGCTCCATAGAATCTCATATGGAGGACCCATCCAGCAAGAGCAAAGACAAGTATGTAAGTGAATCAGGTGTGCCTCTGGAATTAATACCAGAGAATGTAAGGATATCAGTAGTGGGGCATAGCTCGCTATGGGCAAGATAAACAAAGAAGGCCTGTTTACAGCTGAGACCAGATAGGCCCTGTTGGTTTATGACATGGTTGTCTTACTGTTTGAGTCTGTGCATGTCACTTATCTTTAAAATGCTACATTTACTTTTCTTTTATGTTTGAAGTTTTGCATTGCTTCAAGTTAGATTTTAGCCGAAGAGCGGTAGATTGCATGATGTCTGAATCACAGAATCTGCATGGCAGGCCCAAGGGGGTCTCTGAGTATCATGGATAATTTCTGCTGTCACTTTTGGAGAGGGAAATGGATGATGTGAAAAGCACTGTGTGGATGTGGGAGGGGAGGTGGGCGGTGGGATCTATGCCCATCGTTCTGGTCCATCTGTGAAGACTGTTATGTTACTAAGGACAGGTAAGCAGAGGGTTGAGAGTGATTGACAAGTTGGAAATAACCCGCTTGCACAGGGTTTTAATGGACGGTTTCCTTTGTTGTCTCACAGTAGGCTTCACGGCGATAGTCCATGAAAGCACCAATCTTCCGGGGCCTGAGTCATGATCCTTCCTTGGTTCCATTCAGCTGCACTCCTCCTCAGGGAGGGGAAGGAGGGAGTTAGGGAAGAAAGGGGTGGGAGCATCGAAGAAGAAAAACCTTGCTGACCAGCAAGCCAGTTTGCCCTTTCTTTTCCTCTCTACGCTCTTAATTACGATATAAATTTCAGTGCCTCACAGCATGTAACATCCTCTGAAATACTTACAATCATGTCTTGACCTGAATGCACACTCCCGGGGTAGGGAAGCAATCAGTGCTGCTCATACATTCAGATAGAAGGATCCCTGCTGGCTTCCAAGTCTCAGGCACAGTTGAAGGGGCTGGACCCTCCGGATGCTGACAGTATGAGGAGGGTGTGGCTCAGTCCTCACTCAAGCCCCCTTCCCCCCACCAGCTGTGATCCTGGTGACAGTGAGTGGGTGGATTCTCTTGTCTTATTTTTAATCTGGAACTTGGTAATTACTTCAGAATAAGCATCAGCACAAAGGCTTTGAGAATCTCAGAACAGAGGAAGAGAATAAAAGAATGTAAATGTGGAGACTATATGTATCTCTCTCAACTTCAACATATAATTAATGTGTGTGTGCGTGCGCATGTGTGGGTAATGATCTCCACCGAAGCACCAAACACCCATGATGGGTTCATTATGGAACTTGCTTCTTTTTCCGTGAATAAACATTTCCCTTTTCAGTTCTACAATCCATGAGATGTTAGAGAACACAGCTAAAGAGGACAATATGACTCATACAAAAGTACACTTGAATATTTCTATCTGTGACCTCCACAGCTACAAGTTCAACTAACCATAGGCTAAAAATAGTTTGAAAATAAATTTTCTGTATAGAACATAGACAGACATTTCCCTATTACCATCAGTCTTCTAGTAACACAGTAGGTTATATATCATTTCCATTGTTTTAATATAAAAATATCTATATAGTAATTAATATATTGTATATTATAATGTAAGACTATATAATGTTGTATTATTATTGTATTACCATACTATACAAGCAATCTAGAGATGGCCACAGGAAAATAAGAGCATGCTGTAGGTCATGTATACACCCTATGTCGTGTTAGGTAACGGACTTGACCATCTTTGGATCTTGCTATCTTTGGAGACTCAAAGATGATTGTAAAGTAGTACATTTAATTTCTAACACTCATATAAATCCCAAATGTTCTGCCTAAGTTGCTTTATCATTTATATTTGACCTAGTTTTTTTTGAAACTACTCTATTCATTGTTTAAAGATTTAAAGAAGAAATAATACATATTTTAGAAATTCAAAATATTCAAATAATAGATCAAGGAAACATTTTTTGTGTTGTAAGGAAGCATAGGCTCAAATGTATCATGGAATAATAACGATATTGAAAAACAGAAAGGCTGAATAGATGTTCATTCAGGGAGAAATAACTTACAACAGAGACAGATAAATGCCAGCAGGTTCCCGTCCCAAGGATGCATCCGGATGCTTTCTGTCTCCATCCAGCAAGCCAAAGAGCACTCTAGGATCCCCTACCTCAGACCTAGTTTCCCCAGGTCATGTCCTCACCTGTCCCCGCCCCCAATGGGTGTGGTCAGTGCAATGAGTGCAGACAGAGTGAATATCTCACTGCACAAATGACAAGATATTTCTGGACCGTCCATATCAAGTTCTCTGTTCTTGCAGACTAGGAAACATCCCTGAGTTGTCCATTCTGGACAAAGTACCTGAAGAAGATCTGAATAGACATATGAAATCTAAAGATATAATGGTGTTCTATTGAAACCTTAGGGGATAAAATATGGTAGTGAGATCTTGAGGATTAAGAAAGAGTGAGTCTCTTACATTTTTGGTTGTGAGCCTAGCCTTTAACGGCTGTGTGTAGCTGGGTCTATCTCAGGGTACCCTGACTGCAGGACCACTATCTATCTCTGGTGCATGAGCTAGTTTGTTGGAGCCCATTCCCTAGGGTGGGATGCTATGCCCAGCCTTAATGCAGGGGGAGGAGCTTTGTCCTGCCTCAACTTAATGTCCCAAGCTTTGCTGATCTCTGGTGGAGGGGTGGATGGGGTATGGGCTAAATGGGAGGGGGGACGGGTGGTAGGAAAAACTGTGGTTGGAATGCAATATTAAATTTAAAAATAAACAACAGCAACAACGAACCCCACAAAGGACACAGGGCAGGGAAAAAGAAAAGAAACGAAAGAGTAAATCTCTTGAGAGATTTTGCTGAGAAGAAAATAGAGGCCATTTCCTATGATATAATCCCTGGAGCTGCTTTGTGCTACTAGATCTGCAGGATTGTGATGTGTGCCCTATTCTTTCCAAGACAAGTTTGTGAGCCTTCCTGGGTGTCTATAAGCATAAGCTGAGATAACTTGAGGTCTTCTGAACTCTGCAACCAAGGGGTCATAAGGTTTACTTATGCTATAGAGCTAGTGACTAGCTATAGTCAATAATCATATTTGTGATTTCTCTCTCTGTCTCTGTCTCTCTCTTCTTCTGTGTGTGTGTGTGTGTGTGTGTGTGTGTGTGTGAGTATTTAATTGAGAGGTTATTTAGTTTACTTGCTGCTGTTTTGAGGTAGGGTCTTCCACTGTAGCCCAGGCTCATCCATTACTAACTATGAAATCCAAGCTAACTTTGAATTCATGGCAGTCATCCTGCCTCAGCCTCCTGAGCTGAAATATATAATATATATATTTATTTGAGACAGGGTTTCTATGTGTAGCTTTAGAGCCTGTTCTGCAACTAGCTCTTGTAGACCAGGCTGGTCTCACACTCATAGAGATAAGCCTGCCTCTGTCTCCTGAATGCTGGAATTACAGGCATGCACCACCATCTCCCAGCTTGCTAAGGATATTTTTGTAAAGAGTGGAAAAAACAAACAAGCAACTCCCGACCAATCTTACCTAATGAATCTCTAATGGTAGATATAAAAAATAATAAACAGGTACCAGAAAAGCACATTCCTCATCTTAGCAGGGACTCTACCTAGCGTTACTTAGTAATATCATCTAGTTTACAGGACTGACTCCTGGAAAGACTGTGGAATGGAACAATCCCACCTAAGCTCTTCTTGCTTCTGTGGGTGGCAGGGAAGACCCTTAATCCTCAGCTTCTCTGTCTTCTCCTTTAAATGTTTATTGTCAGCAGTATAAGGACCCTCCTGGCCTACCATTCTTTGACCCTGTCATTGACCTTAAATTTCACAGCTAGTCAAGCTGCCTGCCTACTGAAATCCATGAGAAAAAAAGTTCCTGGTGTGAGTGAGCTCTCCTGGTTGAAGCCTCACCAAACCCCTGCAATGAGATGTTCTTTATTGTACATGATTTATGGAAATGGGGGAGGAAGTTCAAACCCAGGAAGGGTTTTAATTTATGTGATGTTTCTTGCCAAAGCACATGTACTAGTGAAAATAATGCAATCTGTGTTGAAAATATTAATGAATGAGTGAGTCAAGTAGGAGTCACGCTGGCGAGTGACCAGCAAGAAGGAGTTCCACCTGCTTTCCTTAGGCTGTGTACAGGCATAACTCAGTCGATGTTCATTGAATATTTGAAATAGTCAGAGAATTAAACTCTCCATTCAAAAAGAAAATCTCTGTACGGTGTTCCATTATAAAAAAAAAAAAATCACTGTCCTTTGCTCAGAGCCTTGGCGTCTATCTGATATTCTCTGCATTCTAGTGAGACTCTTACTTTGAAGTACCTCAGTGTTTCCCAGACTTGCTTAATGAAAAATAGATTAAAGTTAGATGACAGTCACAGGCCTCTGACTAAATATCTCAATATTTATATTGTCTTGTAGATGAAAGTAGCAGGCCTGTTTCTCTTCACAAAACTCTCTCTCCAAATTGTTTTTCTGGACAGAGTTCAAGTAGAACAACCAATTTATTTATGCCAGCCCTTGCTCTTTGCAGTGACCTCTTATTGAGCAATCTGCTAGACAAAGAAGGTGGTTAGCGACCAGCGCTCCTGTGGAGTCGCCAGCTAAGGCCTTCTGCTTATAGACACGCACACTTCTCTGTTTCTGTTCTTTGAAAATGAGGGCACAGATGTTTCTAGATTTGTCAGCTTCATATCAATGCCTAGTTAACCTGAGACCACCTCAATTGTGGAACATATGTCAACACTCATGCACATTTGCAGCCCCTCTTACTTGGTAAAATGACTCGTGGCTTCCAGGTCTGTGTCTTGTGGGCGGAGATTGTTATAGACGTATTTCAGGTCTTCGGTTCCGCTTAGCTCAGGCAGTCCTGCATGCAACATCTTGGTATCGGCAAAACCCAAAACAGAGACGGAAAGAATAAATGCAGACAGAGTCAAGCTTCCATGGCTCACTCTGGTGATAGACATGCAAGCATTTATGTTTGTTTTAATGTGCACTTCATTTCATCTGCGTGAATTGACATACTTTCATGTTTTTAAATGTCTGGTAGTTATGGGGATAAACAACAGCTCTAACATAAAGCAACATTGCAATTGGTGAAGTGTTTGCACAGTGGCGATTCCATTGGGTTCCTATCATAAAGCAATGAAGAAAGTATGATCACATGATTGTTCCTGTCAGAATTTTGGTAGCCACTGTTTAAAACCTGCATGATTTTGAGAAAGTTCATTGACTCTCTCTTAAGCCATCATTTTTCTCACATCTTAAGGAACATAACACTACCTGACATATTCTTGGAGAATCAAAATCTTCTCCATCATATGGTGGTTCACAAAACACATAGGCTTAGCTGCAGAAGATGTGGGTACTATATCCAGGTCAAAGGTGCCGGGACACAGTATGAAAGTCAACCCTCAGACTCTCTCTATACGAACAATTTCCTCTGCATAAGTGGCAAGTATATTCATTAAATACTGGTAAAGCAAGGGAATAATTAGGGGTAGACCTGTGTGTTTTACTCATCTCTAAGAAGATATTTTGTTTACCATGTACTGTGTGGATATTTTATTCTTTTTTACTTGTAGATAATTTTTTTGAGGAAAAACTTTTTGCATTATTATTATTTTTCTAAGAAGTAGAAGAAAATGAGGAAGATGGTAGAGAGATGGAGGATGAAGAGATATTATCAATACTTCTATGACTAATATGATAAATGTTCTGTCCTAGAATAGAGAAATTCATTAAATGAGAAGTTAGTCCTATTGATAAAGGATGAAATGTGTATATTGTGATGGATGAAGTCATAGATGATTCCTATGGGAAAAACAGAGATTCTTGCCATTGTCCCCAGTGAGTCTTAGAGATACATGCATGGAAGAGACCATGATGTTCTTGGTGTGATCACAGAGAGAATCCCAGCAATACTTCTGGAACGCAGACTATCATGTGCCTGAATGTCAAGCAACAGCTCCGGAAAGAGACAGGGTAAGAAATTTCAGCAATATTAAAGCTTTAAAACAAATGTTCCAAAATCAAGAGCATGCTAGTAGCATGTACAAGAACTGACTGTGATAGAATGGTCACCATGGTTGAAGTTAAAGATTAGTCACAGGAGGCCAAAGAAGAGGCTGGACTAGGAATTGGTTTGCAATGGAGACATTATTGGGTTTAAATATACATAGGTGGTGCTGAAGAGACTGCTCCACAATTAAGAGCTTCTGCTGTTCTTGCAGATGACCTGAGGTCAGTTACTAACAGTAACACAACATCCTGTTACCCAGCTCTAGGGGATCCAAAGCCTCTGGCCTCTGAATGTTCTCTACCCACCCCCATCCCACTCCATTTTATAACACACACACATACACACATATGTATGTATGTAGGTATGTATGATGTATATGGGAAATGCATGTATATATACATACATACAAACATATATGTACATACATGGAATATATAGAGAAATTAGAAATGATTGGATACATTGAGGGATGAAACAGTTCAAAGTCACAGCTGCAGACGTTGCCGAGGAGTCATTAGCACACAAATGATAACCGAAACTGAGGGAACGCTGCAATCCTAGAGATGAGTCACTCGCCTGTCCTCATGAGTTATCTCTGGGCATCTTGACTTTACCATGTCTAAGCATGAATAATTGTGGACCGGTGAGATGATTCATTAGGTAAAGGTGCTTGCTGCCAAGCCTGACCACATGAGTTAAAAAATGCGCAAATTCTCTTCAGCTGTCTATTTTCCTATTTCCCAACTCTTACCTCCACGTACCGTGTACACAACCAGCAAGAGACCCACATTCCATTCCCTCTTTTTCCTGATTCTCATCTCCAGTTCCTTTGTAAGTGTTCAGCAGCATCCCTTCCCCAGCTCTCACTGAGGCCATCATCACAGCAATTCACAATGTTACAATGTCTACATGTTTCCAATAGCTTTTCTTTTATCACAGTAATTCATAACCTTACCATGTCTACATGTTTCCAGTAGCTTTTCTTTATACCTGATGATGTGAGGAAGTGACTCTCATAACTTCTGGTTGTCAGCCCAAAATGATGGTACTCTTCACTACAAATACTTCCCTGTTCCTCATCTGTCTATGCACTTAAAATGGGACCTGCATGTTGGTCATTACTCTTTCGTTATATGAGACGTGGCATTTCTCTCTTATCATCCACAGAAGTCTCCATCTTTGTCACAGACTAGAGAACAATGGGCAGCATCCATTTCCAAAGCCATGCTCACTCTTTAGTCAAATATATATATATATATATATATATATATATATATATATATATATCATCGTATGGGTGCTTCTTCTCTTAATCTTTCTCCTAATTTAATATTATTTTTCCCAGATGTTCTTGGAGACCCAATAATTAATTACTCTCCAGCAAATCCACTCAATACTCTTGTATACATTATATCTGAATGATATTTCTTGTTTGCCTATGACCTATTATTTATATATATATATATATATATATATATATATATGGAAAAACGGACTCACAGATACAGGACAAGGTATAACAAGTTTCCAAGTCCTTCCTTTCTACCCAAGGGAGCTGGCTACCTGACCCAGTCTTCACAACCCAAGAGATTGCATGACCTCTGTCTCTCCATTTAAGAGATTACCCTAAGGCTGGTACCTCAAAGCTATTGGCAGAATGAATTCCCACAACATACATATATGTATGTATGCATGCATAATTATCTTTTTCTCTGGCTAGGAATGCCCTCACTCTTTCTCTCTTATCGATTAGAAACCTTTGTCTTGCTTTAACCTCTTTTAAAGTCCTATCTTCCAGTGCTAGTCACGTTTTGTCCATGTCAGATTAGAATTTATTTGAGAAGAGAAAGTGGGCCTTTACTCAGTGTTGAGATTGTTTATGTTGTCTAGCATGGCGCTTTGCAAGTAATTGGAATCTAATGAATATCTGATAGATAATGACTGCATGGATGGATGAGTAAATGATTAGAAAAGCACCGAGTCTTATTAGGCTTTAAAACTCCACTACTTGCAAATTTAATATTGACTACTAGATACAAAAATCTGCCCTAGAGAAACACATTTCGCCTGGCAAGTAGAATCTAGATTAGTTTCTAATTTTATCTCTAGTACTGGGAGTTCCAGAGACATCTATGGACTACTAACTGAGTGTGACTCTCTTTAGCGATTGCATGGTCATCCACTTGCTAAGACCAGATTCTGTGGAGTCTGACTTTCATTCCACTTTCTTTGAATTTACAACAGTTTGGTCAGGACTCTGACAAATACTTTCTACAGGAGTACATAGTAAACTTACTCACTCCTCTGTCTATCATCTGTATGCCTGCCTGCCTGTGTCTCTCCACCTCTGTCTAATCTATCATCTTTCTATAGAGGCTGACACGTTCAGTCTATGGCAAAGCAGATGAATCTAACTCTCCAGCATGTGACTGACTAATGGTTAAAAAGTTGCAAGTCCACCTTTCCTGTGTCCCACTCCTTGGAGTGTGGTAATACCTGAGAATATGGAGGGCTCCATAGCTGGTCCTCCTTAACTGCAATGTGTTCCACAGGTTTTGTCTGGAGGGCATGGGTGACATTTTTGGCTGGGGCAGTGGGGACGGGAGAAGACAGGTAGGTATGAACAGACTCAAACGCTGGATGGATGAGTCATTTGCTTTTAAGGACAGGACTTTTATTTCTATTCTTCTAGTAAGTCCAGCTCTATTTTGATAGCATCACTTAGGGAAGCTGTGCTCTATGCTTACGGTATAGGGAATCTAGAACGATTTCAGCCAAGAGATATCTGATATAATAATGGGAGTGATAAACATTTGAAACTGGGCGAATTGGTCCCTGTGTTCTTTGACTCTTCCATAATAGTTGATATTGATTTTTTTAAATGGGAGAAAAGCTGACGAAATACAGGCTTTTATGATAGTGAACTCAGCCAGCAGCACACTTGGGTCTCCTACAGATGTTCCTTTTAAGCAAGATGGGAATTACATAGATTACTTTTCGCTTGCTTTTCCCATGAGGAAACAAAAGCTCTGCAGATATCTGGCAACAAGATGCTTTCTGCTGAGGATGGGTCATTAACTCCACATCGAACCCACTGAACGCCTGCGCCGCGTGATGCTAGCTATTGATCATTTGCAGAGCCCAGCCTGGATGACCAAGTATTTCTCAACTTGTAACTGGGTCATGGTGTAGTGCACTGGGCTGTGTTTAAAGATGTCGACATGAGAGTCAGCAAGGAGAAAAAGGCAATATTAAATGTGTATGTAGAAAGCAAGTTTTCACAGATTTAAGCTTGGGTTTAATTTTAAAAGAGGCTTTGGCTAGAGAGTGTGTGGTCCTGAAATAGCCACTGAAGACTTTATCCGAAGAGTCCCACATGTTACACACTGGAGTAAAGCAGGGGAACTGGGAGGTAGGAGACCAGAAACCGAGGCAACCGCACATCGCAGTTGTTAAGGATTTGTCTATGGGGTTTAGTGTTCTGCATTCCTCCAGTCACGATATTCCATTTCTATAAGAGCCTAAATCTAAGATTATTATTTAGTACATGTGAGTGACCTCCACTGCTGTCCTTCTAAAAGTCAAGCTAGATTCAATTAAATCTCAGGCAGGTGGGTCTTACTATTTATGTGAGAAATCATTTCAAAACAGGATTAAAACATTATATATCGAATTTTAAAATGCAATGTGCGTGTGTGTGAGGGGCGGGGGTTGTGGGTGGGTACTCAGAGAGGTCAGAAAAGGGCATCAGATTTCTCAGAACTGGATTTATAGGTCATTATGACTTCCTGGATGTGGGTGCTGGGAACTGAACTTGGGTCCTCTGCAAGCACTCTTAACTACTGAGCAATCTCTCCGGCCCCTTTATTTCCCATACATTAAATATATTACAACATTTTGTTGTTGTCATTGGAGACAAGATAACCTTGTAATTTTCCTGCCTCGTCCTCCTGACTGCTGGAATTTACTGGCACAAGCCATCATGCCTGGCCTAATGTTTAAATTCTTTAATGGTTAATTATCATGATAAATATTTTTAAAGGAATGCAGAAAGCTTATTGAACAAATTAAAAATTCTCAGCAAGATGATTCCTACTCATTGATAGGATCTACTGTCATATCTGCTCATCACATTTAATTGTCATCCATCGTAATTTAATGTCACTGGAGAAGCAGCTCCATGAGACTCTGCTTGGGGGAGGGGGGTTTGTTCTGGACTTCTGCGTTTGGTTAAGGCACTCAGTGTGTCTGTATGTGGTTATGTGCCTGTTTGCATGCAGGTGCCTGTAGACCGCAGGACAGGGTACCAGATTCCTGGAGCTGGAGTTATCAGCAGTTGTGAGCCACCTGGTGAGTGTACTTGGAACTGAACCCAGGTCCTATGTAAGAGAAGTTTAGACGTTTGTGCTTTTAAACTGCTGAGACATCTCTCCAAGCCCAGAGTTTGCACTCTTGAGCCTTCATTTCTTAATCTGAACAGTGGCCAAGTGTTCAAAGGAAGATACACACCGAGACAAGGGAACCAGAATAAGTCAGCCTCATCTACATCCTTAGGTTGACATTGTATCTAAACCGAATAATTTTGAGGCAGTTTTCAAAAAAGGGGACAATGTAACCAAAGACATTATTATTTAAAAATGATTTTCCTGGAACCTTAGTCAACCCTATATAGCATTCCTTCCAATGTAACACTAACGCTACGATGGTAACGCCAGAGATGGCAACGATGAACTAACATTAAATTGTCAAGAGGCACACTCTCTTGCTCACTCCTTTCTGTTTTAAAAGCTTGTTGGGGGAACTCCAACCCATTAGGAGAAATAGATCACTGGAGGAGACAGGAATGGAGCTCAGGACTTGTTATTTCCCCAAGGGACTTACCATTTCTAGAAGGCTCAGAATCAGCTGGCTGCGTTTCCTGACAATGTTATAAGCCCTGCAGCAAAGCTCCACGAAGTCTTGAAAATGTTGAGTATTTTTTCCACCCTCGGTAATAAAGTACTCCATCTCTGAAGTAAAAATGAAAGGGGCTCGGTCCCTATAAATAAACAAGAACAATAGCAGTTACGAGGAGAGGACCTGGTGTTTAGGGCAATTACCACAATGCATTTCCACTGGATTATTTTCCTAGTCCTCTGTGGGTCATTGTGGATCAGTGGGAAAACTTAGTAATTGAGGACTTTGAATAACTGGGCTACAACGGAGTGCTACTAAAGCCAGCTATACGGTCTCAAGTGTTTAATTCTCAATCACATTTGGACAGACTTTTCTGCTGAAAGGAGATTGGCTCTAATCAACCGTATAAGTTAGAGCTGTGCAAAGTCAGTGCTGGAAGTGTATTTACTAATGCATTTTGAGACGATAAAACAGAACTTAAGTTCGACATTACAGTGCCTTAAAAGCCATAGAATGAGAGTCTGGATAAAAGTTATATTATAATAACAAATTCTTTCAGAAGATAACTTATGAAACAACAACAGATGTAACCAATCCCCTGACATGTGCTTAGCAAATGGGGAGGGCTTTTGGGTTGCTGTTTTGTTTTTCTTTTTAAAGATAGCCATAATCCATTCCACACATGACTCAGTAAAAGCACTGAGCACAGGAGGACTAAGCAGACTGTGTCTTCACACACACATACTACTGCCCCCTGTGGTCCCAGGGATGGAAAATTAGGTCAAGTTTCCCAGACTGTTATTTGGGACTTGCTAATCCTGAGATGAAGTCTTAGGGTCTCTAAGAGAAGCAGGTAGGGGGAGTGATGGCGGTATCTTTACCCGACGAGGCCTCAGCAGTTAGATCAATGAGGAGGATTTTACACAAATGTGTTTTACAGTCATCTAGATGGGGACACGGCAATGGGTAAAAGAGAGTGAAGTATGCTTCAAATGTGACAGTCCAGCTTCAAATAAAGTTGCTCCGAGTTACAACCGAGGAAGCTGAGAGGTACTTCAGGGTCACTTCAGGACAGAATAGCGTCCTGTGCTGACACAGATTTTGCTGTTTTAATAAAAACATAGTCGAGCTGGAAATCTGGCCAACGTGACTTAGCTAGACCTTTCCGAAGTATGAGGACAAAAATGGAAAAGTTATGCAATCGCATCTGAGACAGTGGACTCCGGCTACGTAGCGTTTTCTAAATTAATATTTGGTTATGGTTGTGCTAAAGTGTGACTTTAAAGGTGAGCACTGTGGTTCACTCCTGCTAATCCCAGTGCTCCAGAGGCTAAGACAGACTGTGAGTTTGAGGCCAGCCTAGACTACATGTTTAATTCCAGGCTAGCCTAGTCTGGTTTCAGAGGTGAGATCCTGTCTCAAAATAGAACAATAAAGTTTATATTTTATAATACAGGATGACTAGTAAGAGAGGTCAGAATAATGAAAACTTTCTTGGCTTGCTTTGCCAGTAACTTATTTGTAGTGAAATTTTGTTTATGAGCTAACAAATAAAGCTTGCCTGAAGACAAGAGCACAAAGCTAGCCACACTAATTAGCCATAGAGGCCAGCAGTGGTGGCACACACCTTTAATCCCAGCCCTTAGAAGCCAGAGGCAGACAGTTCTCTGTGAGTTCAAGGCAACCCTGGCCTACATGAGAGTGGATCAATCTAAAAAAGACAAACAGTTCAAGTAAAGGTTACGTCAGCACTTGGCATCCCACGCTTTCAATCCCAGTACTAGAGATGAATACAAGGCAGGAGGAGATGGGAGCTGATGGGAACAGCCCGAGGTTCCATGGCCCCTTCAGTCTGAGCATTGGTAGAGGTGAGAACTCTCTAGTGGTTCTCAGCTTGGCTTCCCTGATTTTCAGCTTTAACTCCACCATCTGTCACTGGGTTTTTATTATTCATGCTACACTTATTCAATGAGAGGTGCTGAGCACCGGCCCTGAGCAAAGTCCTCAAATGCCAACTCAACTTCTCAAACTGTGATCACTAAATGTTGGTAGTGGGTCTTTCCACTCATTCTATGAGGCACTTTATGAGTCCACACTTCAGCAAACCTGGGGGAAGAGGTGTTGGAAACACAATATAAAAGCACAGGTTGTAATCCTGAACTTGGCTGTGACTTCATTTTCTCCAGGTTAAGTTGGGCACCAAACGCCCAGCTGTTAGACTTTCTGAGAGGCCACGAGGGAAACATTTATGTTCCTGGTTCATGGCAGAGGGTTGTGCAGTCAGGGGCTGCTGTGGCTGGAGGAGGCTCCGTGCACAGAGCACAGGCTGCAGGCCCCATGATCTAGACCTCAAGTCTGGGTTTTGTGCATAGCTAGTTCTTGCCCTCGGTGAGAGACTTACCATCGCTGTTCCTGGACAGCATTCTTTACCAGATGGGTGGGGACATTTGATTATTGATGTTGCTTAGAGGATCACATAGCTTAAATGACAGAGAAGCACTTACTGCCATATAGAAAGCTCTTGGTGTACTTTAGGCCACTGTTGTATGTTATTGTTAAGTCTTCAAACAGCCACATATGTTTGCAGAGCCGGACCTTGTCACAGTTAAGCTTCCCCCTGTCTTGCTCAAAAAATGCCACCACCTCCCACTGTGTACTTGGAGATTTAATTTAATCCCGGTTTATCACTCTTGCTAATTGTGGTGGTTTGAAGAAAAAAATGTGCCCCATAGGTTCACAATTTAAATATGTGTTGCCCAGGTGGTGGCGCTGTTTGGGGGATGTTATAAAGCCTTTAGGAAGTGGAGCCCTGCTGTAGGGAATGTATCTTTTAGGGGTGGACTGTGGTGATATATTATTTATAATTCATTAAAGTTTGTCTGGGGATTCAGAGAGCAAGACCAGCCACAAACTATAGAGGCGAGGCAGTGGCCACACACACCTTTAATCTGAGGGCTCAGGAGACAGGCAGAAGGGTCTTTCGGAGTTCCAGGCTGCCCTGGAAGAGTAACAGAGCTCACACGTTTGATGCCAGCACTTAGGATCACATGCCTTTAATCCCAGCACTAGGGAGGTGGGGACTGGGGTGATGTGGCTGGGTGGAGAAAGGAATACAAGGAGGAGGAAACAGGGACTGAGAGCTTTTGCCCATGAGGATTTGTGGAGGCAGGGCTGCCATTTCAGCTGGGTAAAGGTGAGATCTACTGGCTTGGCTGCTTTGCTTCTCTGATTTCCAGCTTGAAGCTTGAACCCCCAATCTGCTCTCTGGGTTTTTAATTTTTTTGTGTGAGTGTTGCAGTTGACTTTGAGATGTTATAGCCTCACCCCACTTTTGATCACTCTCTGCTTTGTATTGATGTATGAAAGCATGGTCGGTCAGCTTCTGCTCTGCCAGTATGCCATGCTTCCCCCACAATAAGGAATTCTGTCCCGCTGGAACCATAAGACAAAGCAAACCCATTATTCTTTAGGTTGCTTTTGGCCCTGGCCTTTTATCACAGCGACAGAAAAGTACTGTATGCCCCAGTGTTTCAGCAGACTTTTAGGAATATTCCCTTAGTTGGGGGTCTCTATTGCTGTGAAGAGACGCCGTCACCACGGCAACTCTTATAAAGGAAACATTTAATTGAGGGGGCTCCCTTACAGTTCAGAGATTCAGTCCTTCCTGTCAGGGAACATGGTGGCATGCAGATAGCCATGGTGCCAGAGAAATGGACAAGTGTTCTATGTCCACAGGCAACAGGAAGTTAACTGACGCACCCGGTATATAAACCTCAAAGCCCACCCCTACAGTGACACACTTCCTCCAACAAGGCCACACCCCCCAATAGTGCCCCTCCCTATGTGATTATGGGTGGTGGGGGTGGGAATTACATTCAGACTATCACAAACATCCTAGACATCTATAATCAGAAACAAATCTACAAAAAATTGACTTCTTTTTCTTTTCTATCTTACACTATGTTTGCTATGAATTGAGCTTTGGGAGTAGTTTTAGAAAAGTCTAAAATCTTACAAATTCCTGAGCATTTCTAATGCGACAGGCATACTTTTGTCTTTGCAACCCACGAAACTGCAACTGGCCAAACTGACTTCTCTTAGAAACTTCTGTCTCCATGAAATGGCAGCCAGGCAATTGCAATGGAGGCTCGGGTACAGAGAACCCACACAGACACCCAAGTACCTCTGAGAAACATCCAAATTAGACAGTCACGTAAACTAACAATAGGGTTGAAGAGACACACACCACTGTGCAAATAACACAGTTGAAATGCTTAGGGAGCCCAGAGAAATAAAAGCTTCCCTTTTTTATGTCTTCTGCTCACTTCCAATAAACTTTATAAGAACAACAAATACACCAGGAGACTTCTGTAAATGAAAGGAAGTATTTAGCTACAACAAGGGATGCTTCTGGTCCCTGTATATTACGAAACCTTCAGCTGTGCTGTGCTTTGTGAATAGACTCAAAAGTGAACCTAATTCTAGATCATACACTTTGTGGCTCGAGGTTGCTCTCTGAGGTTTTGTTTTATTAGAAATACAGGGCATAAATTGTTTTCCAGATCAGAGCCGAATCTGCTTTGGTTTCCGTCCTCCTACCCTTTCGACCGTATTTGTTTCCTACACGTCTCTCCCCCTCCCCCGTGTGTGTGTGTGTGTGTGTGTGTGTGTGTGTGTGTCTTCACCTTCCCTCTCTCCTTCCCTCATGCTCTCCCTTGTGATAAATCTTCCCAGGCTGGGAAGATGGCTCAGTGAGTAGAGGAACTTCTCACCAAGCCTGGAGATCTGAGTTAAACCCCGAGAACCACATGATGGATGGAGGGACCCCACTGCTACAACTTGTCCTGTGACATCAACATGTGTACCCAGGCACACACATACTTACACACATTCATACAACATAAATAAAATATGCTAAGGTATGTTTGTTAAGTCTCCCTTAACATAACCTACTCCTTTCAGAAAGTCTTATGATTTTTTTTTTATTTTTCAAAAACCTAAATGAAATAAATGGTTTTCAGCACAGAAGGAAGTATTCTTCCCTCTTTTCTATGTCCTTCACACCTGAAACGGTATGTTCATGATACTCTGGTACACAGAGAAAAGAAAACGGAAGTAGCCCACATAGTGAATAGCTAGTGA